TTTTTTTTTTTTTTTTCATATTTTTGTAAACGTTACCTTAGAATAATTTAAATTGATAATTGTAATATCTTTTTCATCTTTTTTTTTTTTTTTTTTTTACAAAATCAAAAGCCCTTTTGTCATACTGTAACATTTTCATCAGTAGTCAAGCACTGTTGTTGTATGTGTAACACTTGATGAGGAATCAAACATGCAAATTAACTGATACAGTTCACACACAATGGGCCTTATTGCTAGTCTGCCAAAAAGCAAAATATTCCTCAGCTAGAGGGAACAGATGAAAGAGAAGAGAAAGCATATATAGTCAGACTTATGATGTGAAATTGAAAGGCATTGTAGGCCACCAGGCTGCCTTTGTCTTTGATCATAGTATTACTTTTGTGTTGTTTGCTCTGTGCTTGCTGTCCATTATTATGAGCATGTGTGCATCTGTGGCTGTGTGTGTCAGAGGATGCTCAAGGGAAGCCTCTACCTCTGACTCATTCATTTTTCTGCTATCCAACACTCAATCCCCCATGATAACCCTACAAACAACTGACCTCTAATGCAGCACAGCTCTGTCTAATCCACGCATACATACTACCTTCTGCAAGTTTTTACAGCAGCAGGAAATCTATAAATCTCAACATGGTCTCTAAGTCAACAAACCCTCCGTGCCGCCCTGGGTGTATGCGAGAGTATATGACCCACAGATCAGCGAGGAGAGCAGCTCTCACACCTCCTATAAATCTCAGAGCGAGATCAGGAAATTCCAGCCCTCAGGCCATCCCTGGGATCTAAGCTGAGCCGAGAGATTAGTTAGAATTAAGGGGGTGCTTCTGTCTTTTACCTGCCCAAAGGGACTCTGGTGATAGTTCAGCAGTCTCCATTATGAGGGGACTCTCTCTCTCTGTGGTGTAGGGGTTCGGGGAACTGGACTGGACTGTTTTAAGTTCTGTTTGGGGTTCAAGGGTTTGATGCAAAAACACTGAAACTGTTTCCTTTATAGCTTAAAATATTTACATTTCTCTTACAGTGACTGTGGGGTGGCAGGCAAGCAGATTTACCAAAGAGAGAGTCAGTCCGATGGTTGGGGACATTTTTACAGTTGGAGAAATGTGAAAATGGAGGAAAGTAACAAAAAAGGGGGAGCAGGAGCACATTAATAGTCAAAGTTCACAGGGGTTAAAGCATTTAGGGGAAATTGCCCCTACAGTTTGTTTTAGTTTCTGACAGATGGGGTCTTTACTTCTTTTCTTGAAATGCTAAAGTGTCTTTGTGAAGCAGTGAGCATGACTGAAGAAAAAGAAGCCTTTCTTGCACATAAATACACATGTAATGGTGCGTGCACACATACTTGCAGAGCAAAAACTGTATGTTGGTATTGACAAAGTGGTGCACAACTGTGTGTGTATCTCTCTGTCTATGTATATGTGTGTGTTTATGCATATATATATATGTGAGAGTGAGTGAGTGATGTGACGGCCATGTATAGAAACCAGAGCATGTGAGCGAAGCGGAGCGGTGTGACGCTCCGCTACGTTTTCCGCTCTATGGACGTGCGCTCCACTCAGTCGCTCTAACCGCCCAAGCAAACGCTCCGTTAATATTCCGCTCACGCTCACCGTAAACCAATTCCCGCTCAGATCCCGCTCCGTTCTGTAAAGAAAATACCAAAACTCTCTGACATTGTTAACTCTGCAGTAGTTCCCACAGTTCTTTTCTCTGTTGTAAAGGAACACAAGGTCACTTAAATAATTTGCCTAATAAATCACAGACTCTGTCTTGGAGTGCATCCACATACTCTTTGAATGTGTATGTGTTGGCTGAAATCACATGCGCAGGTAGATGCATCTGTGAAAGTGCTTCACAGTAGAACTGTGTGGGTGGGGAGAGAGCATGTGTTATGTGTGTAAAGTGAGCTTAAATTCCATTAGCACCCAGATCAGTTGTTTTAGTAGCTAATGAGGCATGTAATAGCAGAGTCTGATAATGAGCTTTGCTGATCTAATTAGCATCTGCACAAATGTCCTCAGAGATGCAGACCAACACATCGCAGCTCAAGACAAATGGACTGTTTTCTCCAGCATCCTGAAAGCCATTAGATTTGATTGCCATTTAATAGTTTTTTTTTATTATTGTGTAACCATTTGGAGTAGTCATTTAATGACTTAGCCGTTTAGATAAAATACTTCTTGCTTGCCTTTTAATCCTGACAAAAGTTAATCAGATTTCCATTTTAACCAGGTGCAGCATTGTAGCAGATTCACCTGCTATTATTTAACATTTCTTAACAATAAGAGGACCAACTGCAGTGGTTATTGTGGAATTGCTGGAAGTCATTTTTAAACGGCTTGTCAAGCTACAACTACTCGATTTAAAGTAATACAGTTGCAATCAGGCTGCTTTTTGAATCCCAGTTCAACTAAAAACGAAAACACAAACCACAAAAAGTCTTCATTTAAACTAACCATCAGAATGAACTGATTCAGTAAAATGAATTGGACGTCTCAAACAAGCATCACTTTGTCCATAGCAAACAATGCCAATGTCTTATTTCATTCACCCTGCACAATTTACACGGAATAAGGTATTTTATCATCTTCTCAAACCACAGGAGCTTCTGTTACCGTCTTTCAGTGACTGATGCTTCTAATGCAGCGTAAAGAATCTTGGGAGTCAAGAAGCGTATGCCGGTTGGGCACTAAGAAAATGTTCATGGCCGTTTGAAGCTATTATTTTTGAGCACTTCTGTTAGGAATGACACTACAACGACCACCACAAACAACTGCAAAACACATGTGCTTAGAGTTCCTCACCACACACAAACACACGGATGAGTGATCATGTTCATACAAACACAGTAAGACATAAACAGTGGCCCGTGTGCTTACTGGAACTGACTGCATTAGTGCTTTAGTGCCCATGATATTAGCATTGTCAATTACTTGTGTCATATGCATGTCAAATCAATGGCAAAACAAATCTGAGGCTATTAATGTGAAGACAGATGCTCCCTATCACATGCAGAGTGTCTATTAAAGAAGAGAATGGTGCCTGGGCTGTGGCCATCGCAGGAAATTCCTAGGGATGTTTTCAATAAGAGCACAAACCTCCTCGCAGCACTGAGGAACCAGGCAAATGAGAACCTGCTGAAACACCACACACACTCTCTCCTTGCTCAGCAAACGGCTAATTATATGCAAGTGAACATGCTTGAGAGGCACAATGATTTACATTGGTGTAAATAGAAGTTTAGAATCATATAGCATTGACCTAAGGCATATATGTTGTTTTTATGTAAGATTTATATGTGATTGTGGGAGGTTTGTTAATATATTTTTAGCAGATGTGAAATATTGATACAGCAGTTTGTGTGTGTGATCTGTACCATAAACAGATGTGGCATGGTGGCGTGTTCCCGCTTATCATCTGACCTGTTATGTAACTTTGCAGGCTCTCTCATAAGGTCACACTCAATAAAGAACAAAGCAAAATAGATGAAAGAGAATAAGAACCCCTTTTCTTATGAAAAACAGAATTTTCACAAAACTGAGTAAAACCAAGTCTGGTACATATGTGCTACTCCAAACCAGCAGGGAGCAGTAACTTCTACTTGTGTTTCTACTACTGCAATTTAAAAGAATAGTTCACCCATAAAAAGGCATAAAATAGAAATGCACCCTATTTATTTTCTATGCATGTTATTGATTTTATTGTAAATAATGCATCCATGCATGTTTAATTTTTATATGCATATGCGTCTTCTAATGAAACGACAGATTTCTCTCTGGCAACATATGCTGGACTTATGTCTCCTTTATATGCTATCAGAATTATTGTAAATATGAGTTTCCCATCGGACATGGCTTCTTAAGTCATATTTACAACTGGGAAACTCTGAGATCATTTTGATACTTGAGCTTGCATTCAGATCTGCCTTCATCCAAGCCATAACCAAAATCTACATTTTTTTCAGTTTCTCCTTTTGTGTGCCATGGAACAAAGTTATACGGGTTTGGTACAACATGATGATATAAATAACATGCATGATGAAAGAATAAATTTTTTCTTTGGGTAAACTATCCCTTTAATGGCTAGGCATTCGGTTTCCACAAATTGTGCTTTCTTTCCAGCTATACATTATGCATTATGAGAGTCAGGGTTGAGCGTATGTGTGAGTGCACGTGTGTATGATTTCCCAAACGAGTCTTGCAGCCTATGCCATGGGGCTACCTGTAGAATCAAAACATGCTATTGCAACGTCTAAAACACAAGGGTGGCAGGTTTGCTGTGAAGCAAAGATGGATGGCCTGTTAAAACCACTTTACCAGCACAACGTGTAGTTTAATCACCCTTGCAAAAACTCATGGAGCATTCTGGTAACTGTAGAACCCTCAGAGTCTAGGTTTATAGCTGCTAATTTTGCTTTCTGTCAGTAGTTCTGACTAGGTTCTGGATTAAATAGTCCAATTGAAACTGTGAGTAACTCAAATAAGAGCTCCAAGTAAACATGGTTAGAGAGAGGCCTAACACACCAGGCAAAGACAGACCAACTAACACCTCAATTGCCCAACTATTAATGTGTTGATTATGGGACATGGAGCATGGACAAGATATATTTGTCACAGTCATTATCTTTTTATGATTTTGAACTCCCTGTAAAAAACTAAAAGGGCAGCATCATATTAAATTCTACCCCATTAACACATATAAATCGACACAGGCTGTCACACACACACTAGTCCTGTAGAAAACCTCAGATTCACCCCATCAGGGCTAATGAACGACACACAAACATAAACATGTGCTCATACACGCACCATAGCTATCCCTCAGGACCTTGATGCAGCTCTCAGGAAACATTAGCAGCATTAGCTTGGAATGCAAACTGAAACAAACAGCTCACACTCTCACAGATGAAAGTAGTTGTCAGTCCACTAACTGGGTCTCATTCACGATTAAATGCGTTCAAGTGTTCTTAGTTACGCATGTACAAAAGGTTATTGTGCGAAATTTTCACCAGATTCAGAACAGGTGCGTACACACATACATTCTCTATTCTCATTCTAATGAATCCAGATTATTCTAAAGCATGTATAAATATGTAAAGCATCTATAATATATAGACATATGAATACTTTTTATAATAATAATAATGCATATATATATACACCCCCCCCCCCACACACACACACAAATACATAAAGCCATTCAATGCCTAAATTTAAGCTTATTGATTTAAACACGGACATAAAAAGACTCTTATCAAGAGCACTGTAAAAGCATTAGCATCACACACACACATACATATATATATAATTGCATTGGTGATGATTCATGATATTATTATTCATAATTTCATGAAAATAATGCTTTTTGTTAGGAATAAATTTGTCACACAGACAAAGAAACATGCACAGACACACACAGGTGCACACAGAACAGCAATGAAAGTGATGTGTTCTCAGTCGTGGGAAAAGTTCTTAGGACCATTTAGTTTTACTGCCATCTGGGGGAGTTTGTGTGTGCGTTTGTTTTGTATGTGGAGCTGGACCTATTTCTGGTCAGTGTCAAATTACCTTATCTTCATGTTGTTACGAGTGTTTAAATGTGTGATGGTTAAGATTTGTGTGACTCACCAGCTCCAAAAGCGAAAAAGAAGCTCTGGGTTGGGTTTCTCTGAAGGAGGGCAGAGACACGGCGGGCCATTCGTTCGTTGCGTTTGTAAATGAGCTCCTGCCGCAGGTAACTGTCAATCTGCTGCGCCGTCAGGCGCTCGTGAGCTGGCAGGGAACTGTTGATGAAATGCGGAAGCTGAGACAGAAAAAGAAAGAGAGAAGTGTTAATAAAAGCCTGGCATGAATCTGAGTCTGTGTGTGAGTGAGAAACTGGGCAGCTGAGACATTTATGCCACTTTGTGGAACGTGACAGCCACACACTCAAAGACTGTTTTACTGTCTTGGACTCCATGCACTGATTGATTTTCTGTGGGGTAAAGAGTATGGGAAGCTTTCTACAGCTGGCCGGGTCTGTCTACACAGTCTGCTATGAATTCAGAAGGATGGACAGAGTAGAACCACGCTTTAAAATAAATAAATAACCAATGGTGTTTGGTTTACATTTCAGTACTTGACATGTTGTGCCACAGTTGTAATAAAATGAAGTCTAGTTGATTCCCTCTTTAAAATTTAATATAAAATGGCCATAAAAACATTTACTGCAACTACAGTAAATTAAAATGATAATAGTGATGGTGATGTTTGTGGTACAATATTGTCTCCTGCTTTCCTTTGTTTATGATCTCGAAATTTTCTAATTGTTTGAGATGTTTGATCTCCATAGCACTTCCAAGGAGAGTTATCTGTGTTGAACTTGATTTCATTGGGTCTTCAGTGCTTTTTACACCAAGTGCATTGTGACATTGTTAGGAAAATTGTCTAGACCCAATTTTTTAAAATTGATTTTGATTTTAAGGTTTTAGATAAAAAATAAAAATAAAAATAAAAAATACATAGACCTTTTGTATGACAGCCCATTCCAGCCTCAGAGTAAAAAATAAAAAAGGTCATTGTGAGGCAGATTACAATAAATGTTATACTTTAAAACATTGTATGATGTAGAAAGTTGCAATTGTGAGATATAATGGTCCAATTACAAGAATTGAAGTCTCAATTATAAGAAGTTGCAAGACAAAAGATATACCCAATTACCTTTTAATTTTTTTTTACTTGGGCTTCTATGTGTTTGGAATCCATCTTTGGAATTGGAAAAGTGTGTATAGATCTTTGAAAGAGAGCAGGACATTAGGGAAATATATGGTTATGGAGCTCAATTCTGGACCTTTCGCTCTAATTGATGGTCGGAAGCACAGCACTTCCCATGTCTTGACCAGCTATACATACACCAGAGATGGGGTGGGTAATGGTACAGGGACGGAGGAAGCGAGAGAGACTTAAAAGGGAAACTGTGAGGTGGCCTCTTGTTAGAATCCAGAGCTCTAGAACGTCTAAATACTATGTATGTGTGTGTGTATTTATCCATACGCCCCGCTAATGAGAGAGCAGTTTGGAAATGGGGAGGCAGAGGGGGTAAATATGGCTGTACAGTGTACACGTGTGTTTATCTGAGAGATTCCTGCCTGAGCTGTGCACTAAAGAACTGAAGTGCAGTGGAGCAGAAAGCCATACGTTTGGCTCCACTGTGTGTTTGTGTGTGTGTTCAGACACTGATAGATGAACTGCTGTACCCTTGTAAGCATCCAAACCACTTTTACAGAAGGCTTTTCCCGTAATGCCCTCTTACACTCCCCCCACCTCCTATAACTCACATTATAGAGAGCCTTCAGTGTGCTGAAGATCTGAACAGGGTCTGTACAGAAGCTGGAGAATGTACGGTTTATTTTTATTTATTTATATATGTATTATTAAGGATAGATGTAGATGCTTTTCATAAAATGTGCTATTTATTTAATTGTATATATATACAGTATATATATATATACACACACACACACACACACACACACGAAAAGTTCTAGATGGGGAGTATACTACACACAACTTTTTTCTAATTATGGTCTGCTCATAAATAATTAGCTAGATATTGCTCTTGTGTAGAGTTAGTGTAGAACTAAACTAGCTGGCAAAGTCTAAAACAATTCATTAACAAATAAAGAAAAATTACTAAAAAGTTATGAAAAAGTCAGAAGAAACCTGACATTTAGTGTCCACATTATCCTTGAATGCAGTTTAGTTTGCTGTCCATAGTGAAGAGACTTAAGCAGAAGACTCGAATCAAGCTCTAAGTCAAGTACTAATTCATTTCCGCATGAAGTATTGGAGCAGAAATAGAGAGAGAATGAGGAAGAGAGGCATAAAGCAATGAAAGAGAGAGCACAGATACCTTATCAGGCAGTAGAGCCATTAGCTGCCCTGCGTCTGACCTTTGCAGGAAATATGGAACAACAGAAAGATATTTCCTCCCTTCCTTCGCTTACTGCTCCCTCGCATTTTTCCTGAAATGTTCGTTCTCTCTCTCACTATGTGTGTGTGCTTTAATCTTTTAGCGTGTTGCTGGGTGACTTGGAGAATTATAGGCCATCCATCAGAAGGAACCTGCTGCTGCTCAAACTTTAAGCTCATAATGACTCCAATACATCACATACTTGCACACACATACATACTCACATGATGCATAGAACAGGACCAGGCTGTGTTTTTGTGTGTATACCTGGGATGTGTCATGATTGAGGATAATGGAGTTGAGGTCTCCACAGTTGTAGTGTGTGATGAGGTCCTCAGTAGTGAAGGTGTCATGCAAAATGCCTGCACGCAAACTCTCATGCTGCAGTAGGGTCTGGTTTAGAGCAAACAACACCTGCAGACACACACAGAGAGAGAGGGTCAGTTTGTCATTCTGAACACATAAAATACACAAGTGTAGTCATTCTCATTACCACACACAATATATGATGTCACGTCGGACATAATGTGTTCACAAATGCACTCTTCAGTTATTCACACACTGTAAACATAGTCCATGAACATTTTTCCTTTTAGGGCCTCCCAAATATTGCGCCAGCGTACAGCCAGGTACAACTACATTTTGTAAGCCAGCCAGTTTCTAGAGAAACAGGTATGAGAGAGAGAGAGAGAGAGAAAAGACAGGGAGTGCTCCTTTAAAAACAGCTCTATCTCCAGGGTCCAAGGGTCGTAAATTTACAGCCCCCATTAAAATAAAAAGTAAACCCTCTTTAGAGAGAATTTATGGTGTGCAACAGCCACAGACCACAGCGACACTGCAGCTGTCCCAGGCTCCTGGGGTTAAACTTCACACTCCCGCCCACTCTGCTCTCACGCCACGCCTGACTGGCTGACTTGCTCGATTCCGGCTGTCAATCAAAGTTAAGCGTTTTGACAGCAGAGCCTGTTGGAGATTGGAGGGGGGGGGGAGTTTTTTCTGTGATTTTGCATGGAAAGGTAGATTGAATTTCACGCTGTCATGCATTCTGCTGGCTAACATGTTCATACCCGATCATGTGTGGTCAATTGATTTGTGTACTTGATTACACCTCTCTGTTCTGGCTGGGACCCGTCACGCTAATTGCCTTGGAGATTTACAGGGAGGGTTTGTGAGCGTGTGTGACAGAAATACAGTAATGAAAATGGTCTATGAAAGCAGTGATGCTGATTGAATTATATACTAGCTTAAAGGCTACAGAAGATTTAGTCCCTGCCTCATGCAGAAAGGTTAGAAATGAGAGTCTGTGCTGTTTTATTTAACACTGGGAATGAAATACAGATTGCTGTTTTGCTCACTAGTCCAGTGTGCTTTGCCTACACTGTGAGCATCAGCCAAGCCAACAGCAAACCAGGCTTAGCATCACTTTATGTTTAAAAATGTTAGAATCATAGCCTATAGCCTATCCTCAAAACTTTTTTTCTCTCATCTTCTCCACATCAGTTCTTGTCCTCTCTCCATGAATCTGTGGATTAAACTTGGTGTGAAGTAAAAATACAATGGCCAAAAAGTAAAAGTAAATGCTTTATTTTAGTTATTTTATTTATTTGCATCTCTGTCTGTGATGCAAAGCTACATTATCATTTTATCTCCTCAACAAACATATATGCACAATACATGGCAACATTTTATGCCTCTTCTGTAGATTTTTTAATAAACAGGATTTGAACTTATTACAGCTTACTATTTTTTTTATATTTCTCATGAAAAAATATGAATAAGTTTCAATGTAGTAAGCTACCTTTGCTTATAGTGTAACTAGCTACTTTCTCCGCTTAACTAATTACTCTGTAGAATAGTTTTTAGCTCAGCTACCTTTTTGAGCAGTGTTATTTCAGTATTTATATTCTGTTTTAGTATCTAATAATATTTTGAATGAGCTTTTATTTTATATTTTCAGTTTTCATTTAAAATTTAGTTTAAGTTTTAATAAGTTAGCAAATTACTGTTTTGTGTTTTTATTAGTTTTTGTTTTATTAAAATATTTCCATATAATTTTAGTTTTATTTCAGTTTTAGTAACTTCAGTACTTCAACTTATTTCAGTTAGTTGCCAAGGCAACATTTCTAATTATATATAATATGTATATATATATATATATATAATCTAATATTATTTTATTAAATGTCTTAAATTAACATTTAA